CTTCCCCAGCTGTCCATGATACCTGATTGCCAAATACTGTTGCATTTATGTTTACTTATTTCTCCTCCAACATCACCATCTTTCTTCTCGTTCTGACCCTAGTTCTCCCTAGGTTTATGCCTGGTTAAACCAATCCACATCCACCCAATCTCTTTCTGTCTCAGTTTTTTACATCAAAACCTGTGCAACAACCATATTTAGCACATTTTTTTTTAGCCTATCCATCCTCTGGTGAAATGAAGTTGTAGTAGAACACATAAACAAGTAATGGAGAAAACACAGGGCAAGACCCCACTCACTTGACTGCTCTAATGGACAGTATCTCCAGAGTGATTTTCCGGTTGGGATATTCCTGAAGAATGGGGCCAATTCTTAAAATTGATTGTTGCCCTTGTCTTTAGTTTTGGGGTTTTGTTTTTATCTCTCACAATAGCTAGGCAGTGCTTTGGTCATAGTGGTGTTTTGAGGAGAAAGATATTAATCTATTAGTATCCACAGGCTCTTGCTACTCCGCACTCGGTAGGAAGGATCCTGTGTTGGCTACTAGGTTTAAATTATACACATTAAAGTAGGTAGTGAAAAATAATGAAGAGCCTATAGAGGCTATTTGCATCTGCCTGGCAAGAGGTCCACAATTACTCACCAAGTAAAGAGATAAGAATTGTTATGGAAAAGAGGAAACTAGGAAGAGTTGAGGAAGATGAAGATATTTATGAACTGAGAGTGAAACAATTTTTAGAAACTTGAAGTAGAGAAGGAAAGAATCTTAATCCTTTGAAAAAATGCCTGTGACATATTGGAATAAAGGGAGAGAGAGAGAGAAAAGTTCTAAAAGTTTATTTGTATGCTATGGAGGCAACCACCATGATTTTTTAAAGGAAAGCAATAAAAATATAAAATTGCTTTTAATTATTTTGTTTGATGCTGGATTGATATTTCTTTGAATGTGACTCCAGGACAGGCTTGGGCATCAGACGGTTCTGTTGTCATTTTGAGTTACAATGATGATCATGTTCCAAACCCGTTGTTTGATTGCTGTAGCAATTGTTAAAATTCAGAAACATGATTCCCAGTCTTTTCGCTACTTCTGTGAAATTTAAATGCATTCAATTTTCACTTTTATTACCTAAAAATACCATCTTATGCAGCCTCAGAATGTATAATTATAATAATGCATACATGAACTGCTTTTCCTAGGTTACAAAAACAGTGTGCCTTCCTGACATCATTCATCCTGAAAATAATTAGGTAAAATATGTAGGATAGATATCATCTCTGTTTTACAAATTAGAAAACATAAACTATAAAGGCAAAATACCTTTCTCAAGTTCATGAAAATAGGTAGGTGGAAACTGGCAGAGTGAAAACTAAAATTTTGTCTTCAGATTCCAATTTCAGAGTTCCTTAGCAGCTTTATAATCCTTGTGTATATAGAGAGAAACACAGAGGTTTGTTTTGGTTTTTTGTTTTTGGTTGCTGTTTTTTTTACATTTAGCTTATGCTTTTCCTTTTCATTTTTCTCTCTTTTTTAAATTTTCTAATTTTTAAAAAATTTATTTATTTACTTGAGAGAGAGAGCATGCAAAGTGAGGGGAGGAGCAGAGGGAGAGGGAGAGAGAAACAGACTTCCCGCTGAGTGCGAAGCTTAATTCGGGGCTTGATTTCAGGAGCCTGAGATGGTGACCTGAGCCAAAATCAAAAGTCAGATGCTTAAGCAACTGAGCCACCCAGGGACCTCCAAATTTTCTAACTTGATAGAAGACTCAGTGGACAGTGGACTGTACGCACTAACCAGCTATGAGACTCGGAAGATACTCCCTGTTGGCTATCTCCTGTTGCCTAGTGCTCTTCTGAAAGGAGGCTACCCGTTTTGTAAATTTTGCTTAGTGGCATCACAGCTCTGCTGCTGACACACCGTGCGGCCTCGGGCAAGTCACCAATGGGGTTGACGTCTCCAGGTATTTGTAAGGATCTAACGTGATATCAAAGGATGTGACAGAGTAAACATTCAAAATATGTAAGCAGGCAAGAGCACCTTTTTATTTCATTTCTTTCTCTAATCAGTCCACCCCAACCTGCCCATTCACCTTAGTCTTTCATTTTAATCCCAAAAGAGCAAGCTACAAGAAAATACCAGCTTTTCCTTTTCCTTCATCTTCTTCTAGTTCAATCAGTTAAATTTTGGCTCATTTGAAATAGTTCAAATTTCATACATACAGATAATTTGTCAAAATATTAACTCAGTATGACCAAAGACATCAGTTCAACATTGCAAAGATTTTATTTGACAGAGACAGAGACAGCGAGAGCAGGAACACAAGCAGGGGGCGTGGGAGAGGGAGAAGCAGGCTTCCCGCAGAGCAGGGAGCCCGATGCGGCACTCGATCCCAGGACCCTGGGATCATGACCTGAGCCGAAGGCAGCCACTTAATGACTGCGCCACCCAGGCGCCCTAGCTTTGGCATTTTAAAGCTACCTTTAATGCAAGTGTTTTTATATGATTGTGGTTAAAAAAATTATATATATCATTGTTTAGTTGCTTCTTTTTTTTTAATAGCATGATGAATCAAGATAAATTTCTCTGCAGTTTCATTTTCTGGAAGAATGCAGAACGGAACACCTTTTAAAGATTTTATTTATTTATTTGACAGAGAGAGACACAGCGAGAGAGGGAACACAAGCAGGCGGAGTGGGAGAGGGAGAAGCAGGCTTCCCGCCGAGCAGAGAGCCCGATGCGGGGCTCGATCCCAGGACCCTGGGACCATGACCTGAGCGGAAGGCAGACGCTTCACGACTGAGCCACCCAGGCAGCCCCAGAACACCTTTTATATAAGGCAAATTGCCTAGTAAAATCCAATCACTCGATACAAGATAATCTCATGATTGATAAACATAAAAGAGCAGATATTATAAGTTATTGCAGGAAGTTAATTTAAAAGCTTAGAGCAACCATTTTTACATTTTCTTTTTTTTTTTTTTTAAGATTTTATTTATTTATTGGACAGAGAGAGACAGTGAGAGCAGGAACACAAGCAGGGGGAGTGGGAGAGGGAGAAGCAGGCTTCCTGCTGAGCAGGGAGCCCGATGTGGGACTCGATCCCAGGACCCTGGGATCATGACCTGAGCCGAAGGCAGACGCTTAACGACTGAGCCACCCAGGCGCCCCCATTTTTACATTTTCTGATTCTATAAAGTTTCAGAGCATTTATTGATCACCCATTGTGCGCAAACTCTATGACTAAGTGAATTAAGTGGTGGAAAGAGAAGTGACACAAACCTTCTATTATCTCACTGATGGTTAGAAAAAAAAAAAAAACAGTAGGATAAGAAGAAAAAAAAATATAAAACATGGTAGAGATGATGCGGGCCATACGAGAAAGCCTGCAATAATCATTAAGGGACTCTTAAAAAAAGGAGAGATCACATTCCAAAATTGGGATGAAGTGTGACCAAGAACAGTTGGATACAGACTGGATGTTTGAATTGGAACCAGAAGAAAGTACAGTTTCAACAGAGAGGTTGGTAAAAACTTTTTCAAGAAGACTAGCATGAGGCCGGAAGGGCACAAAATCATATTTAGATTAATAGGAAATCTTCCTGTTTATTCTGTTTAAGCCAAAATGTATGGAGGCCTTGAAAGCCACATTAGGGAATTAAACTTAATGTCATAGTCAATAAGGAGGTGTGTGATCAAAGCTCTGCTTCTGAGAAACTAATATGTCAAGTGTAATTAAAATGAATTGAAAGGGAGAAAGGTGTAGAAAACTAATTTTGTTTACATGAAGGTAATAAGAGTCTGAGATAAAAAAGTGAACACTGGGGGCGCCTGAGTGGCTCAGTGGGTTGAGCGTCTGACTCTTGATTTCCACTTAGGTCATGATCTCAGGGTCCTGGGATCGAGCCCCGCATCAGGCTCCCTGCTCATGGGGAGGCTTCTTGAGTTTCCCTCTCTCCCTCTACTCCTCCCTCTACTCCTCCCTCCACTCAGCTTTCTCTTAAAAAAAACAAAAAAGAAAAAACAGGTGAACACTGAATGTTAAGGAAGTAACAAAGTTGAGAAATAGTGAAGTGGCAAAATTTACAGGACTCTGAAATATAGTATACATACTAAAAAGCATGCATATCTTTTGTTTACTCTCAAGTGTACATAAACTATCATAATATTCACAAACCAGCACCCATATCAAGGAAGAGACTATCCCCAGATTTCACTTTCTATCTCCACCTTTATCCATCTTACTGCTCTTTCACAGCATAGATTATTTTCAATTGCTTTCATGTTTTACATGAATACAATTAGCGACAATATTCCTTTGTGTCTGGCTTCTTTAACTCAGCACCATGCTTGTGATATTTATCCACATTTAGTATGTTGGCCCATTCTCATTGCTGTGCAGTGTTATATCACATATATGAATCATAATTTTTCACCCATTCAACTGCTGGTGGGCATTTGAGTAGTTTTCAGTTTGGAGTAATAACATATAATGCTGCTATGGACTTTTGTGTATATGCCTTTTTGTGATCATACATAAAATTTCCGTTGGATTTATACCTATGAATGGAATTCCTGGGTCAGATGTATGTAGCTGTAATAGATAACACCAGTTTTCTGAGGTGTTAATGCTCACTTAGCAGTGTATGAATTCCAGTTGCTCCGTACCCTTTCCAATACTTGGCATTTTCTATCTTTAATGTTATAGTCATTCTGGTGAGTATACAATAGCTTGTTCTCGTGGGTTTCATCTGTATTTCCTTAAAATAATTAGTAGAGTTATCATATATATTTTTTCTTTTTTTGTCCTTTGGATGTCCTATTTTGTGAAGTGATGGGTTTCTTATATATTCTCAATATAATTCCTTTGTCAGATATATGTATGGCAAATAAGTTCTCCTACTCTCTGGATTGCCTTTTGACTCTGTTAATTTTACCTTTTGATGAAGAAAGGTGGTTATTTTTACTGTGGTTTGATATACCAATCGTATCTCCAATAATTAGTGTAATACCATGATTAGATACCACAAAATGCATAGCAATATCTTAACCATAAATGTGTTGTATTAGTAATTAGGACCTTCCCATCCTTTCAAGAGTTCTAGCCTCTCCTTTCATACAACACCCATTTAACAGAATTTTGCCAGTAAGGGAGAAGACATAAGTGATTACTCCAAATTCCCTACTCTGGGTGATTTTGAGGTACTATTAACAGAATCAGGTAAGTCAGTAAGAGATGCCTTTTTATTTATTCATTTATTTAAAGATTTACTTATTTATTTGAGAAAGAAAGGGAGAGCTGCTCATGCATGCAAGCATGGGGGGGCGTGGAGGAGGGACACGGGGGGAGGGGCAAAGAGAGTTTTAAGCAGCTCTATCTTAGGACCCTGAGATCATGATCTGAACCAAAACCAAATCAGACACTTAACCAACTGCACCACCCAGGTGCCCCAAGAGATGCCTTTTTAAGGATAAAGGTAGTTTTGGTTTGGGACCCAATGAGTTTGAGGTATTTCTAAGACATTGAAGTGGAAATCTCCAGTAGGCCTCAGACTTTAAAAAGAGCATGCTAGTTGAAACTGTGGAATTGGTTGAAATTACCAAAAGGGAGACTATAGATACAAGAACATGAATGGGAGCAGGATCTTAATATATGCCTCTAGGTAGTGGTTAGAGGGAGATAGTACAAAACTGTATCTCCAATTGTCTGCTAGATTTTTTTTTTTTAACTAGAAGTCTCATTGTCACCTCACACCCAATGCAATTAAAATAGAACTCATATTCTCCTTCTCTTCCCCTGCCCCTTCCTCCCCTTCACTGGAGTTCACATTTCTGACAGGTTTAGCCCTGGTTCTTCCAGGCACTCAAACACCAAGCTTTAGAGTCAACAGTAACCCCTTAGTCTTTTTCACCCCTTTGGTTAGTCATTAAGGCCTATTACTCCTTTCATTCATTCCTTAATTCTATTTTCATTGATTTTTCCTTAAACTATTTTAATGGTCTCTCAAATAGATTCTCAGACTTTGGCCTCTTATCCACTTTTCTTTGTTTGCAAAACATTTTTTTAAGTTTCTGATTATTGAGCCAAGCACTGTGCCAAGTGCGGTATATAAATATATCCTTTAATTTTCATATAATCCTATGAGAAAACTGGGGGCTTAAAGTGTTTAAGTAACTTTCTGATGGTCATACAGAGCCAGGGTTCCAACCTAGATACATGGAAATCTGAAGTCATCTGTTAACTCGTTTTCTTCTTCCACACAACTACCACATTAATAGTCCTAAAACCTTTTTCACATTTTCCCTCTTCTACATCCTTCTTTACCCATCTGATAAAGTGGTAAAGAGTTTTTGGCTGTATGCAAAGCCCTCTGTAAAGATGACTTCTACCCATTTCTCCAAACTTTCATTAATCATCTGTTCTGGTAAAGCTGACATGATCACACACCCTCCCCCACCCCTGTAATATGCCATGTGTCAGAATAGCGTCTAATGTCACACTATAGCCCTAAAATGGTTACTCCCCATCCCATCCCTTGCAATTTAAAATAACTATGTTACATCTCTCTTATGTAAACTACAGCTACTTAAACCATTAATGCAGGGGGTTTTTTGTTGTTCTGTTGTTAAAATTTTACTTTTTCCCTAAAGAATAAAATTATTTTTTAAAGATTTTATTTATTTATTTTAGAAGAGAGAGAGAGAGAGCACGTGTATGCTCGGTGGAGGGTGGGAGGGACGAAGGGAGAGAGAGAATCTCAAGCAGACTCCCTGCTGAGTGCAGAGCCCAATGCAGGGCTCGGATCTCACGACCCTATGATCATGACCTGAGCTGAAATCAAGAGTCTAACACTCAACTGACTGAGCCACGTAGGCACCCCAAGAAAAAAATGATTTTTCATGGCAAGTTCCTTTATTATTCTTTGAATGCACAAAATTATAAATTCTAAATCCCTTTTATAAATGTTTAGTCTGTAGTAATGACTGTAAGAAATACTAACTACCCAGTGGTATCATATTCACTGTATTTTTTTTTATCATTAATGAAGACATAAAAGTCTTTGTACCAGCCTAGCCACCTTTCAAAGTTGGATACATTTATAATTTTTGGATATAAGAATTTTCCAACTGACTTCAAGCCACGTGATGGTAACTATAGTTGCATGACAAATTCAATTCTAATTTTTAAAAATAATATTTTTAAATATACTAATGCCTTATATCTCATGTCCTCCTTTAGCCATTTACTTTCCAATTGATTGAATAAATTTGTCAAAACATATTTTGCAGTACTTTTTCTTGGTAAAACCACACTATTTATTGTTCATGATTATAACAACTGAAATATCTATGAGCCTGCTATCCTAACAGCTATTCGTTGTTTGAATTACATTGCAAAGTTTGACACATGTTGAATGCTACATTTTCACTACCCTATTTTTTCCATTTAATCCTCAAGCATTCCAGTAACTTCTGTGTTTTTCAAAAATCTTAAAAATACATTATTTCTTTAAAATAATTGGTAGGTGTGCCTGGGTGGCTCAGTCGGTTAAGTGTCTGACTTCGGCTCAAGTCATGGTGTCAGGGTCCTGGGATTGAGCCCCATGTGGGGAGTCTGCTTGTCCCTCTCCCTCTGCCCCTCCACCCTTCTCCACACCCCACTCATGCTTGCTCTCTTTCTCTCTCTCAAATAAATAAAATCTTTAAAAAAATTAAATAAGATAAAATAATTGGTATATATTTTTCTACTACTTTAGAATCTAGGAGTGGAAGATCCCTCATGAGTCTTCCAAGTGAGAAAATGAAGACCTACAGTGGTGCTATGCTCAAAGTTTATAACTTATTAGTTATAGAACTTGAGGTTCTTCAATTTTGGTCTAATTCTTTTTCTATTAAACACACTACTTTTTGTTTTATATCCTTAATATATTTTTTTAGAAAAATATAGTTTTAAAATTCAAAAGTTCCTGCAAGTCTTACTCTTCCTACCGTTGACAGCAGCCTCAGCACTGAGCCTTGATACTCAGAAGCAAGTGCTCTTAACCACACAAGCTCTTTCTTTTGTGGTTCCCATCTCTTGCTCTAATGAATGCAACTGCTTTCCCTTGATTTTTCAACTCAGATACATGGTCTGTAGAATTTTGCCTCACACAACACACACATTCCTTAAGTCCCTATCCTTTCAATACTTTTATGTCAGAATTTCTGTTAATACCAATATTTCCTGTTTATATGCAATTATTTTTCAGAGCTGGAATTTGTGATTGTTCCTTTTTAAACTGGTTAGTTTGGTATATATCTTTCACTAATTCTTTCACTAAATTACTTTTGATAGTCAAACACATCAATTGTATTCTCATTAATGGCCATGTGGGGTTGTTTTGGGTACATGGGTCAAGAGTCTAGCTAAGCTATGCCATAGTGTTGCTGCCTTAGCATCCACTGTATTTGGCCAGGCAGCATTCAGTGACTTTAAACTGGCGCTAGCCTCCTCGTGAAACTGTGTGCCCTAACAACAGCTATTGTGACTCTTGTGAGCGTTACAGTTCAACAACATGCCGCAAGAGGAATTGAAATACGGATTATTACTCTCAGGTCCTGGAGAAAGTACCTTAACTACAGATTATTACTCCCAGGCCCGGGAATAAGTACCTGAAAGACAGATTATTACTCCCAGGTCCCAGAGGAAGTACCTGAAAGACAGATTATTACTCCCAGGTCCCGGAGGAAGTAGCCAGAACACCTCCAGTGGCTACAGGGGGAGGTCAAGGCTGAGTGCAGACAGAAAGAAAGGGTCAGGACCAGGTGCACTGTCTTAGGGTGAGTGAGTGGGTGGGGTGCTTTGAAGTTCCCAGGCTAAGGCCAGATTGGTCAACTGAAACCAAAAAGAACAGGATTTTGGTAAACCACAAGGCGGTCGTATCTAAGGAGTGCACAAAGGGAAGGCCTGGGATGTAGGGGAGAATGTTTCCCATGAGGGTGAAGGTGGTTGGGGTTGTCATACCAGAATCTTAACACTTGTGACTCTATAGGCTGTTATTTAGGGTATGGGCTCAAGTGAGGCATATTGTCAGTTCAAGGCCCGCCCGACCACTTGGCCACAGGAAATGGTTGCTAGGAGAAAAATATTATGGAGTGATGTAGCTAAACTCTCCATAGCAGTGTACAGAGTCACAGCAAATATAAATATAACTTCCCCAAGAGAACTTGTGATCAACATTCTCTCCTGTCTCCCAGTGTCTTCCTCTTTTGTTTTACCAAAACTCCACTCTTTTGGTTTGGATTAACCAATCTGGCTTTAGCCTGGGACCCCAAAGCACTCTACCCATAGACCCTATTAATGGCAGTGCCCCAGAATCCTGACTTTGTTTGCACTCTGCCTTGACCTTCCCATGTGGCCCCTGGGAAGTATGCCAGTACTTCTTCCAGGCCCTGTGAGTAACAAACTTTTCCATTTCATTTCCATTTGAGGTCTGTGGTTGAACCATGTCTCACCATCTGGCATCCTGTGCACGACTTAGTGTTAATTGGATAAATTTGTAACATAATTATTTAAGTAAACTTTTTTTATTTTAAAACAGCTTTGGATTAATAGAAAAATTGAGAAAATAATATAGAAAATTCCCAATACTTCATACGCATTTTCTCTATTATTTTACATTACTATGGTATATTTGTCACAATTAATGAATCAATTCTAATACATTTATTCCTTACTTAGTAAAGTCCACATTTTATTCAGATTTTTTTTACTTTTCAGCTAATATCCTTTTTCTTTTCCAGGATCCCATCCAGGCTACCACATTACATTTAGTTTTCATGTTTCTTGGCTGTAACAGTTTGGCAGATATTTATTGTTTTTGATGATCTTGACAATTTAGAAGAGTCCTGGTGAGATATGTTGTAGAATGCCTCTAGACTGGGATGTGTCTGATATTTTCCTCATGACCAGATTAGGGTTATGGATTTTGTGGAGGAAGTCCAAAGAGGGTAGGTGTCATTTTTATCACAGGGTAGCTAGGATACATACTATCAACGTGACTAATCAGTATTGATGTTCACATTGATCACTGGGTTGAGCTAGTATTTGTCAGGTTACTCTACTGTAAATATGCTCTTTTCCCC